CCCCACGCAACCAAAAATGCGCCTGCCCTCTTCGCATCGCTTCCCAGAGCCACGCCGAGCGAGAGCCGCACAAACCTTTCGTCGTCCATTGTGCGCCGCCGGAGCGGAGCTGGAGCCCTGCTGCATGCGCCCTCGCCTCCTGCCCGCTCCTTCTCGAGCGCTGCCGCAGCGAACCGCTCGGCGCCCTGGTCTGGCTGGGCTCAGCTGGCCGCCTTCCTTCTCGCCCTTGCGCCGCTTCCTCTCGCGCCTAAAGCAACAGCGGCAGGTTAACTTTGCAGCAGCCAGGAGAACACTCCCTTCCCAGAGGTCCCCGCTGCCGCCGCCGCCGCCGCTACTCTGCCTCCAGTCTCGGCAGCCCACTCCCTTCTGCCTTTCTTCCTCCCGCTCCGAGCATGCGACTCGGTCTCCTGGCAACACCAGCTGTGCGGATAGGTACATTGCACCGCCCCGGCTGGTGCATTTGCACAGGGCATCTTTTTGGCGGGGATCTGCTCGTTTAAAAGGACCGACAAGGGGGACGAAGCACACGCAGCAAGGGCGGAAAAGGAAGGAAGCGTTTTTTGTCTTGTCCCCGTGGTTTATCCCCAGGAAGGGGACACTTGCTTTGGAATGCGCGTCCATTGCGTCCCGCTTAGTTGCATTTCTGTCTCACCCTATTCCAAAGCTCTAGGGCAGGCACTGGCAGTCTATTTAAAACATACGTTAAAAACTGCAGCTTTAAATTGGCGGCAGTCTTTGGAACAAATCTAGTTTTGGGAACCGGGAGGGATATTGCGTGTATCGTTAAGAAAAAATGGGCTGTATTGTGAGTGTAAAGATTAGCTTTACACACCCATTTTTCCTCTTGCTAGGTTGTGTGTTCAGCTTAACTGAAGGCAGGTAAATCACCTTTGAAATGCCAGCTGCATCCCAAACCCAGCAATCAAAATAGAGGCACCCTTGGGTTTGTGAGAGTCAGCACTGCATGCAGATTGTTAAATGCAGAGCATGGATTTGAAGGGGGAGGGGGGCTTTCTTTAGAAAATAATATCCTATTATTTCAGTTGTGAAGTACCAACTATCATTTCCATTCTCCATGCTCTTCCATACACACAACTTCCATTTCAGATAGATTGGCAGGGATAGGGGAGTAAAGAAAATAAATAGTTGGGCATGTGCATTTTAAGTTCATTTAAATCACAGCCTCACCATGACATAGAATCAAAATGAGGTTTGTAAACTATTTAATTCCTTTGTTCCCCAAGTGATATGAGATAGCAGTGATTAAATGCTATATGTTCAACTGAAATGATATGCCTTGCTGTACTTCAGGCTGGTTTAAAGCAATAGAACAGTTAACATCAAGAATGAAGATAGAGCAAAATCTTGCTTAAATATTTACTGAAAGCTTTGATCATAAATACAGGGAGTAAGGAAGATCGCTAGTTTGTATATGCTTTTCATATTCAATGCAAAGAATGCCAGCCCCAAATTTAGAGAAGGAAACTGTAGTTTAAAAGTGTTATTACAGTCCTTACATCTTGGTGTTCACTTGGCACACTCAACCCAGGTGCTTTTTTAAAAACTAATTTTCTGGATTCACACAATGTAGTGAGTCATAAATTAATCATCCCTAATCCCAGCTCATGTAGTTATTATATATTTGTGTATTTATTAGCTGAACAGCCATAAAACTAGAAAAGGTACAGCTAGTTACGGGCTCAATGTGGATGCAAAGCCAAAAAATTGACAAAGCCAAAAAATTTGACACAGCCAAAAAATTGACATTAACATAGTATGTCAGTGACTTTCATCACTGCAGTACTGGAACTGAAAAGACACATTGGGCATGCATTTTTATAGATTCCAAAAATGAGTTGCAATCTAGAGTTTGCAGCCAGCCAAACAAATGGGCTATTTTCACTGGTTTGGTTTTGTTTTTGTGCCTTTGAGTCGGTCTTCACTCCTGGCGACTGCCTGGACTAGTCCCTGCAGTTTTCTTGGCAATATTTTCAGATGTCATTTGCCATTACTGCCTTCTTCCTAGGGCTAAGAGTGACTGGCCCAAAGCCACCCAGCTGGCTTTGTGTCTAAAGCAGGACTAGAATTCACCATCTCCCAGTTTCTAGCCTTGTGCCTTAACCACTACAGGTAGTCCTCACTTACCAACCACTCATTCAGCAACTGAAATTACAATGGTGCTGAAAAAGGAGACTTATCAGTGGTCCTCAAAGCTGTGGCCATCACAGTGTCCCCCATGGTCACGATAGCAATTCAGGTGCTTGGTAACCAGTGCACATTCACATGGTTGTGGTATCCCATAGTCATGTGACTGCCATTTGTGACCTTCACAGCCAGCTTCTGACAAGCAAAGTCAATGGGGAAGCCAATAGGAAGTTGCAAGTCAGTCACATTGTGCTTAACCTGTGGTGATTTAACAACTGCAGCTGGAACTGATATTAAGTCAGACACAGCCACATGACATTTCACCTTACAACTGCCTCACTTAGCGATGGAGTTGCGGGTCCCAATTGCAATTGGTGAGGACTACCTGTACACCATGGCCCTCACATGCCTAATCTCTTACTTCTCCCCTTGTTCTCTCCAACAAATGGCAGTTCATACCATGTCTGCTTGCTTACTTCTCACTAGATAGTTTTTGGAGGAATTTACACTTTCTCTCTGCCCAGGCAAATTTATTGTACAGTGGTACCTCGGGTCACGAACGCTTCTGTTCACGACCAATTCGGATCACGAACAGCACCGTTCGCAAAATTTTGCTTCCATTCGCAAACTCCGCATCAGGTGACGAACAGGATCTGCAGCCATTTTCCCTCCCATGACATGTGGTCGTGGCTTCCTGGAGGGAGGGGGCCTCCCCCCCAAAACAATAACCGCCTCCCCACCCGCCTTCCTGTCCTCCACGCCTCAAGCAAGGCTAGCGTTCTCTCTCTTCATAG